AGAACTATAGCCATACATTACTTAATTGGGCAGCTGAACATAGATACTTTTTTCCTACTTCCAATAAGTGTTGCTACAAGTGTAAATAGAACAGACAAATTGAAACACTGTTTAATACCAGGTTTAGTTGTATCTATATTAACTTCATGAAGGTAAAGTGCTTCTGCAATGGTGGGAAAACTACAGTATCAAAGTATAGTCCAAAGGATACACAAGTCTACAGATAGTAAAGGACAAGCACAAAAAACCCTGTAACGAAGCATCCACCGAAGATCAGACGTTTTACAACACTTCTACCAGCCACCTGCCAGGACGAGCAGACTATTCTTTCCCCTGATTGAAAATTTGGCTGCTTTGGCTTCCCTTTCCCCTGAAGCACTGGAGACTGATTGTGGCTCTTGAGTCCAGGTAAGCATCATAGAATCATAGAATAGTTAGGGTTGGAAAAGACCTTAAGATCATCTAGTTCCAATCCCCTGCCATGGGCAGGGACACCTCACACGAAACCATATCACCCAAGGCCTCGTCCAACCTGGCCTTGAGCACTGCCAGGGATGGAGCATTCACAACTTCCCTGGGCAACCTATTCCACTGCCTCACCACCCTTACAGGAAAGAATTTTCTTCTTATATCCAATCTAAACTTCCCCTGTTTAAGTTTTAACCCATTATGCCTTGTCCTATCACTACAGTCCCTAATGAAGGGTCCATCCCCAGCATCCCTATAGGGCCCCTTCAGACACTGGAAGGCTGCTATGAGGTCTCCACACAGCCTTCTCTTCTCCAGGCTGAACAGCCCCAACTTTCTCAGCCTATCTTCATATGGGAGGTGCTCCAGTCCCCTGATCATTCTCATGGCCCTCCTCTGGACTTGTTCCAACAGTTCCATGTCCTTTTTATGTTGAGGACACCAGAACTGCACACAATACTCCAAGTGAGCTCTCACGGGAGCAGAGTAAAGGGGCAGGATCACTTCCTTCGACCTGCTGGTCACACTCCTTTTGATGCAGCCCAGTAGAGTTCTTTTGTCATGTGCCTGCTTAAGTGTCCTGCTAAGAGGAATCGTATGACATTGGCAATGACTTCAGTCTTTCTTGCTCAGTTTCTGAAGCATAGTTTCTGAAGCAACATTGGGTTTGGGTCATTTATTACAGTTTAATGTTTTGTTTAAATTTTGCTTCTCATAGCCAGTAGCAGTCTGTGATTCTCAGTGTACCAGAAAAGTCTACTGAACATCTCAATGAGATGTAAGTTACATGGTGGCTTGTGACTGAGGGCCTAGGCATAAAAAACACACAAACCCCCCTCAGTGACCAAATGGCTCCTTCCAGTCCTGAGCTTCACATTTCCAAATATACTCAAGTACTCACTTTGCTCAGATATTCATCAGAAAGTAAACAGTTCCAATATCTCTGTCAGTCCAAGTATTTTTTTACTTAAAATGAACAGCTAATTATTACATATAGTAAGGGCAACTGGATGAACTGGGAAAAAAACAAAACAAACAAACCAAACCAAAATAAAACAAACAAAAAAAACCCCCCAAAAAACAACAAACCTCAACAACTTAGAAATAACTCCACTTCAAGCTATTGTGTTGCTGGTATGCAGTCATCTATCCTTGCCCTGTTCTTCCCCCAACTGTGAACAAGGATTACCTAGAAGGAGTGTTTTCTGAAATCATTTGCACAAAAGCTCTGAGTCTTCAGGTTCTTCAACTACACAACTCCACCCAAAAGGACAAAAGTACTTTAGTACTAATGCAAGCACCTCTGGAAAATGCTTAAAACACCTGCCACAATTCATAGGTTTATCATCAATCTACAGATTGCCAGTCTCTCACATTTAATTACTCAGTCTCACTGCAGCAGTTTAGAACAGTGAATTGCTTCAGAGCAAATTCAACAAATTTGACATTCTCTAAAATGCAGTACAGCAGTTTCTAACATCGTGAACAAAAGTGTTAATGCCTGCATTTTATCCCCACCCATACAAAGCATAAAAGATGCAAGCAATTTTACATTACTAAGGCCCAGTGAACAGACCAACAGCAGCAGTGCCTGTGTCAGCAAGTTTATCCTCCCACATCCAGCGCCCCGAGGACTCCATTATTTCATGGGAGCTGCAAAGAGAACAGTTTGTAAACAGGCACCCGGACTTTGCGAAACAGTTGGCCCTTCAGAGAGAGCTGCAGGCATTAACCTTGAAATAGCCATGCTGCCATAAGGAGACAGTACAGAGCCTGGGCTTGCTTGCTTGTTTTAATGTTCAGAATACATAAGTAAACAGCATGAAAAAAAGTGTATTGAAAATTAATCATATTTAAAAACTCTGCCAAGTAGCAGCCTGAATATAATGTATAAATAAGTCCAAGCCATGTCAAACAGCATTCCACAGTCATGTGTCAAGTGAAAAGCAGAAAGACTGGTCTGTTTGAAGGAAACAATTGTGATCGTTTATATGTGAGCTAGCTTCCTATAAATTCATTCAAGATTTTGCCATTTAATGGCAAGTTTCCTGAAAGCGTAGTATGTACAGACATTATAAACAAGATTACCATAAGCCCACTGTATATTAGTTTGTATTTCCAGACACTACTTAGTTGGGAGTTCATTCAAAATGTCTTTTTTTTTTTTTTTTTTTTTTTGCTAAAATGATGTGCCTAAATTGAACTGTATCTCTTAAAAAAAACCCCACAAGTCACTACTCAGTATGACCCCTCACGTCTGCTGGCTCCCAAAGCTTGCATTTTTTAATAAATCTCCTTCAAGACATCGTGTAGCAGATTACACTGACCCTCATTTGTTTGCATTAAGCATAAGCGCCAGAGACACTTGTAATAATTTACCAAAGATTTAAAAAAGTCTGTTAGAAAAATAATCATTGATTTCAAACAGACATTACACAGTTCCTCCGTTACATGGAAATGTGATGTCTACTTTGAAAGGCCAGATGCTCAAATGGATTAAAGAATGTCTAGCCTTTAAATCCTGCATCTGTAAATCAACACTGACCTAGTGACCTAAAGTAAAATTTAATAAGAAAAAGAAGTATTCAACAACCACATATAGACCATTCAAGAAGGAAATTAAAAAAAAATAAAAATAGTTTGCTCAAGACTATTTGGACATTTACACAGTGCTCGCCAGGGAATATACTAAGCTGGAGAATGCCAAATGTAAAATCCCCTATTTATCCTTGAAACAGGTTTAGCAAAGTCATTGGAAAAGCAAGCTTCTCAGGACACCACCAGCTAGCAATCAGGATAAATCACCTCTGGAAAGAATATACAAGCCATTACCTTTATGTCAATATGATTGTTGCTGTCTGTGAAGACTTGTCAATGGGCCAGTAATTCATGTCCACAGCAACAGCAAATCCTTCAGGTAACATCTACTTTACTAAAAAGAGACCAGGAAACAGAAACACATTCCATACTAACTACAGAATAACCTTGGCGTGGTTGCCCTTCCCTCCAGCAAGGTTCAGCGCAGCATCTGAAAGGTGAAAGTCTAATCTCTTTTCAAGCACAAAAGCCAATCTGCCTCCTGCACTCTTTTTAACAATGCAATTACAGACCTGAAACTTGCACACGTGAACAAGTCCACTGCAGCCCATTAAAACCAAGTCTTGCATGAATCACCCACTCGAATGGCAACACAATACTTAAATTCTGGAGAAGGAAAGGGTTAAAAAACCCAATCCTTTTAATTACAAGATGATACATCTTCCATTAAGAATGCTCAAACAGTTCCACGAATGTGCAAGTCTGAAAGGACTTTGGGCACATATACCAGTCTCCCAATAGCACAAGAAAAGCCCATACCCCACAAACGGTTAAAATACTGAAAGAAATAAACACCACCTCAACCTCCCACACACACACTTGTGTTAGGCACCAAGACTTGGAAAGCATCTGGTAGGTTAAAAATTTATCCTAGTCAAATACGTTGTAACTGTGACTTATTAACTTCCATTGGTAACTTTCCTCCCAGACTCCAAGGCACTGGCGTTTTCAGTGCATAAAAACAGAGGGCAGGTCTGTGAAATTAAAACTGACACAGTTTCAATTAAAGGCCTCTAGTAGTGTCCTCCTCTGTACCAAATAAAATGGCAGTCCTGGCAAGAGGGATGCAGCATAAGAGCTTTATTTGAAAAGGGAAAGCCCATACATGACTAAAAGTATCTACTGAAGTAATATTTTGTCTATTTGGGGTACAAATAGAAGTCAAGTGCACACAAACATTCAGCATGCATTTACTACGAAAAACATGTAATACTCCCAGCCCCTACAGCACAACAAATAATCTCTTTTACAGGACACAAAAGCCTTACATGCACACATTGCTAATTTTATTTTCTCTTCTAAATGAACTCCTGCCGTTAAAAATCAGTCACAATGTTTGCAGAGTGTCCTGAAAACTCATGTGAAGTCTCCGTACAATTAAGTTCCATAAGAGAAAGTCCAAAATGTTTGGTGAGTTGGAAAGAGAGGCAGAGGGTGGTAACGAAGAGTGGAAAACTGGCTCCTGCATTCTGCCTCCCTTACACTGCTTTCTCTGAGCAAACTGCAAAAACCACCCTAAACACCCATTGTATCGCCAGCTCCGTTTGAACATTTCCCCCTTCATGCCAGTACGAAAAACAAACACATCACATACAAAAAGAAATCACTCAGACAAAAAGCAATCAGAGTGAAAAGGCAAATAAATCAAACAGATATGGCAGCGAACAGCATTTCAGAAAGACAAGAGATACGAATTGCTCCATTTGTGTCAGCTTGCCCAGTTATTGTTCTGACTTACTACTTTAACGACCCCAAATTAAACTGCTTGAACTGAAACAGACAAACAAAGATCTTTAAAACACAATTACACACACACACACACATACACACCCTCTGAACAATAAGCATTATTTCTGTGGTGCTACGATCCTTAAATCAAAAAGCCACTGCACCAATTAAAAATTACATGAATACATAACGAATATAGGACTGACCTTGCAAAAAGCTTACTCCTCTTGGCTAAAAATCATTAACAGTTTTGGTAAAATCCTTTTATGTGCTTCTCCAGCTAGCTAATTCCAGCCTTCCATTAACGCACTCCATTGCAGATAATTGCCGTCAGCACACGCTCCCCTGCTTTTGCTGGTTCCCAACCCAGCAAGGATAATCACATTCCAGCAGGGAGTGAACAGATGGCAGCCTCCATGGTAACCAGTCCTCCCCAGCTAGTGGTAGCACTGGGAGACTCCCGGGGACTGGGCAACAAGCACTCTTTGTGCTTCAGCCTTGTAAAGCCTCAGTGAAGGGAGAGCCAGCTCCTAGTGCTCACTGGGCATGCCTAGCAGGTGCCTTGCCTTCGCCAGCAGGCAGAACACCTTAACAAAAGCTTGTAACCAGGTTTAACCTTGAAGCTGCCTATTCCCACGTCACACAGGGGCAAGACGCACGCTAAGATGGAGGTGAAGCTAGAGAGAGTTTTCATTTACTGTTTTAAGGGGGGGGGGGTGGGGAGGGGGCAGAGAAATTTACTGAGGCTTGTTTTCCCCCTGACAAAATCATTTTCTGAAGGTAGGCTTATTTCACCTATATGGGTTTAATTTCAGCACGATGGCAATGTTTGCTGCCTGATCTCTACCCCCTAGATCTTGAAATTGCTCCCCTCAAGAACACTGTAATCTCCCAACGCAGCTTTTCCTTAACAACTACATAAAACCTTGCTTTTGGTCTTAGGGCTTCTGCCAGCTTATCTGCTCCACATCTGATGAGCCCAACGCTGATTCAGCAGCAGGCAAAACCACCCTGTCTCTGCTGCATGACCAGGCTGCCAGGGGGGGCATGCCTGGAAAAAGCTTTCTTTTTTTTTTTGCTTCAAAGCTGTGCCTGAAACTACTGCTGTCATTGGGCCAGATCCTGCACAGCCACACACCTACACCAGTGGTGTGCAGCAAAATTCCCACCAGCGTTATCCGGAGGGGAAAAGGAAGTGGCTTTTCAAGACCAAGTGATAATGATCTTGTCTGCAAACTAAAAGGAGCTTTGAAATAACACATTAAAGTTTTAAATACTGTTGAGTTAGTTGCACAGGACCAGATCTCATAAATACTTAAGGCTTGAAACACTGGGCATACAAAATCATGCTGCACAGGAGTCCATGGACTAAAGACGCAGTCAAACTTTCCCTCACTCTCAAAACTATGCAGCACTTATGACTAACAGTGTGTCAGAAAATTGTGGGTAATTTTACTTAAAGCTGAGCCAAATTTGGAAGTTCCTACGTGCTAGGTTAGATCTAGTGAATTATTCTTTTGAGAAAGGGAAAATTAATTCCTTTCTCCCTTAATGGCACCTTTGATCTTGTAGCTGGTCCTGCAGGGCAGCATTTGTTCCTGTGAAAGACTGAAAACCCCTGTGCTGGAACCCAACCTCACAACAAAGCCTGTCTTTTCATGAGGGTGGCTCCAGGCACAGAGCTCAATAATTTTCTTCCACCCTTCCAAATTTTCAGTTTCCAACATCCTCACTGCATAAGGAAGTTAGTTTTGTTTCACAGCAAGTGCAATGAAGTTGTTCTCAAAACCATCTAGGTTGAAAAAGACCTTCAAGATCATCAAGTCCAACCATTAACCCAGGACTGCCAAGTCCACCACTAAAACATGTCACTGAGGGCGTCATCCACATGTTTTTCGAATATTTCCAGGGTGATTCCACCACTGCCCTGGGTAGCCTGTGCCAATGCCTGACTGCAAATTCTTACATAGGTAAGAACTATTAAACTGCCACTATTAAACTGCCAGCACATTAACACTGGAAGCCTCTCAGATTACTGCTGACAGTGCTTGAGTACTCATAAGCCGTACGAGAGTCCTCACCATGGAAAGTGTGGCAGCTGAAGAGGATCCAGACTTCGCAGAGCTCACAAGGGTGCTTGTGGGTACCAGTGACAGGCATGGGACTAAACCCAGGTCTGTCAACTTCCTCTCCAGGACTAGAAGATCATTCTGACCCATGATGCTAATTTCAACCCATTTTCTTCCTCTAAGGAAGCAATTTCGACATCATCAAAAATTTCTTGAGCAATCATGGCCACCACATTTAATCATCCACCAGCAACATGGGTAAAATAATAGAAGGAAGGAAGATACCCAATTTCCTACTTAACTTGACAATTGTTAATAATAAAAGCTTTTCAGTGTTTAAGCATTATGAAACACACCAATAGCAGTTCTTGGTTTGCCTGTTAAAAATAAAGACTATGGCTCAGAAATTAGTTTTAATATAGTAATAGATTGTCTGCCTTGTTGGAAAAAACAACCCAACTGTAGCAATTACAATTCTTGGCAAACAGAACAACTTCAAAATTACAGGGATTGGAGTTCAGTTACAGTCTGTTTTTCTTCATGAAAGAAACCTCCTACAAAGTAATTTTCTAGATTTATGTAAATTCTAACTTTATATTTAAAAAAAATGTTTACTGAAATATTACAAGCAATTTTGGCATTGGAAAACTTGTTCCAGACACAGATAAAACCCCTTAGACCATCTGTTTTTGAGCAAGCATTAGCTGTACCAATTATAGGAGGATTGCTAGCAGAATGAAAGGCATTCAGAACCCATTTCATCTTCTTATTTGGAATTTCTTTACTTTTAAAGTCCGATTTTATACAGATACAATGCAAAAATTTTAATAAACTACATGGAGCTTATCACACAAAGAAAGGCGCAATAGGGTGCACTACAAATTTTGATGAAAGCAATAGCTAAGTTACATGGAGCAACATTAAAAAACTACCCTGTGTATATCTGACATGTTTTATTCAAACTGCTTGAAAGGGAGAGAGCAAAACAGCACATCCAAAATACTGTTGATGAGGGGTGGACAAGAGAAAGAAAACTTAGCCTTCTCCCCTTATTTTATGGCCCAGTCTGAGCCTATCTGGAGTTTAAGAATAAATTGCTTTAGCTGGAAGATATTAATGGAAAATAAACATCATATTGACATCCTGTCTTCTGAATTGATTCCACTGAAAGGATTGTCTTTTATAATGATAGCACTATGTGCTTCAGCTTTTTCCATTCATAGCTCCTCTTTGATAGACCAAGATTTGGTATTTTACTTGAGTCACTGGAGACTCAAACTGGGCTTTAGAAATATGTGGTTTTCATATTGGATATGTTGGGGGTTTTGGTGATGACCACTTAAAATCTGTTCACCCAAGACAAGTTATATGAGTTTAGAATAAGGCATATTGACAGAAGTTAACCTCCATTCTATGCATGAGATTTGAAAGCTTTATTTATAAAGGCAAACAATTATAAAACATCTAGGCAATCAACACCAGGCCTCACACATACTCGCTTTTGAACTCATGCCCATTTCTCATACCTGTTTTTAGAGTTCTACTAAGACAACCTTGTAATTCCTGAAAATTGTACCGACTGTACATTACTGCCAGATAAAGCAACACAATAAAACACTGATCTGCTTGCTCTGTTACAGTACCACCTTTGTTTCTAAAAATAAAACAATTTTAATATAATGTGTATGCTTTTCTTTTAATACCATTTTGTATTGAGGAAGTTCATTTCAAGGGAAACAGTATGTCTGCATTTTTAAGAGTATAAAAAAACATTCTGAAAGCAATTGTAAGTGCTGAAATCTGCAAAATTTCAAGATTTTTTGTGATAAGCACAGAAGGACTAAAGCTTCCATACTTAAAGATCAGTTTATATGACAGAGATGGTCTTACAGTCTTACCTCAAACAGTTTTCCTAAATCAAAAAAATACAGTACTTTGCAGAAGGAAAGCAATGAATCAAGCCCTGCAGACATCAAAGGCTTCCTCAGTGGCATCTGAACAGATAAAAAGCAAATGAAGACCTCATGCCTGGTGAGTTGCACTCCCATTACTTCCCAGATGTTTTCAGTCCCCACAGTTTTGCACTAGCACATGTGTCCTCAGCATCACAAGAAACAAGACTATGGAGTTTCTTCTTCTTTCACATGGTGCCCACATAGCCTGGGAGCATGCACATGGTAGGCGTGGGAGAAGCATCTGTTTTGCTCTCCCTCTCACGGCCACTGTTTGATTAAATGATGTCTATGAGTGATAAACCTTTCCTTTCCAAACTCTTAATTCTTACAAAAGTGGAATTCACAGCAGGGAGACAAGCTATCTCCTCACCAGTTCAATTACATGGACTGTCTCTGTCCATTGCAGTAATCATTCGTCTAATATTGCAATAGCTGTTTCTGTGGATATTTATTTTTTTCACCATCACTAAAGGATAATGAAGAAACACAGATGGAGCTCATACTGGACATCTTAGTAATATATTTGGTGCACCAGCCTGAAAGTTATTCTTCCTTGATAGGCAGTTCTCTAGAATAGCTTTCAAGTTATGAAATTAAATTCCTCATAGAACTAGAAAAAAAAGAAGACTTCTACTGTTATGTCTCCAAAGAGAGTTATTTTCAGATCAGGAACAGCACCAGCCCAATACACCCAAACACCTACTCCATAAACTGGAATTACTTTAGTTTCCAAATCCTTTATGGCACCTCACCCACTGAACAGCATCAATAGTGCCTGCAAGTTAGTAACGCCTGCAGAAAAGGACATAGTTTTTTCTTTAAAGCAAATGACAAAATATATCTAGAGTTATTCAGGCACATTGATTAATATATTAATATATGAAGTAAATTATGTGAAATGTAATTTCAAAAAACTCCATCCATCCACAGGGCCTATATTAGAACTGCTCTCTTTAGTAAAGAAAAGCCTCTTGGAAGTTGCTGATCACAAAGAAACAGATGGTTAAAAGTATTTTTTTGTAAACACAATTATTTTTATGTCAATAGTAAAATGTAGGGTACAGAAGAACTGTTAAGTAAAATGGGAGATAGCACAGCCTCCCTGAGGTGGGTACAGAAGCTCAGGCCTTGGACATAAGGCATGAGACAGCTCATATTGGTGGTAGCTACCCAGAAGCAAGAGGTCTGGAGCTGCTTTTGCAAGATGTGCATGAACGGAAAGGGAGAGCCTACATCAAAAACATCAAGGGGCTTGTGTTCCAACAGCAGACACTAATGTTTTTCCAACTGTGACACTAATGTTTTTCAATCCATCTGCATTCAAAAAAGAAAGAGGGATGATAAAAGCAGAGCTGGACTTTAGCTGAAAACTCATTTTGTCAAGGTAGGACAACTCAGTTCAGTGTCTGGAAGCATCCAACAATAGGGCACAGCAACCACCAGACATGCCTGATTATTTCTGCAATCACACAGAGCGTTTCCATGGAAAAGCTGCAGCAGACTAGGTTTGACATTCAGTGTCTGACAGCTGAGCCAG